TGGCAAAGCCGATGGGAGTCAGGCCAAAGTGGTCGTAGTAACGTCCCAACGACGACGTTCCGCTATGGCAGGCCAACAGAACTTCGGTCCAATTGGTCTACCCTCCCTCCCCGACATAAATATTGATGAAAACGATACATTTATACGCGAACGACAAGTCCGTCCGCGGAGAAAAAGTCAAGAGATTTATTGGGACGCGGCCCCGCGACGACAGCCATTTCTGCGCCGATCATACATCAAGCAGAGCCTCCAGGCCAATTCCGATCGGCCGGCAGCCGATGCTCCTGCGATTCCTGTTTCTAGACCGATCCACGTACGATTCGTTAAAGAGTGTCGTTTCGGGCAGATTTTTTAAATGCAACAGCCAGACAGGCCCGATCGTTTACCGATCTAACATCGTCTTCTTTGGTCACGAGCTTTCTAGAGGGATAGACTGATCCTTGGAGCTTTACTTTTTACTTTACGCGCCATATATGCGCTTCTTACAGCACTAATGTCCCGTTAAAAAGTTTTATCTTCGGCTTGCTTATCGTAGAATCCTCGTTATTGACTAATTAAAATGTACGTATTAATCACGACATTATGTGACGCAAATGAAATGAAATGAATTTGAAAATCAGTCGAGTGTGCATGCACCCGACTGATGTTAGTTATTATGGTTACTATGATTATCCATAGTTATTTTACTATGAATAATCATTATCAAAATTTTGGTCCAGTCTGTATGTACTAATGATTATGAAAGTGGTCGAAGTAAAAAATTTAAAAAGAAAAAGATTTTACCACTTATTTTGTATTGCAATGATTCGCTATTTTAGCAAAATAGCAAAGAATTGGAACGTTATTTTGAGTTTGTGGGTTTTGTAAGCGCGATACTTTTAATACTTCGAAGCGAAATTTGATTTAAGCCACTCTCGTGATAACTGCATATGTGGTATACAGGGTGTCTCACATTTTTCTGTAAAGTTTCTGTCAGTGTAATCAATGAAAAAAATAAAGTTAAAATATCGTATAATAAAAATCCATAAATGGTTTATTCAGTTATAACCGAGATGTGAAAACCAAATATTCTACACATCAATAACAACTTATATTTTTCCAATTCAAATGCTATTAACTAAACTAATTATATTTCAAAATCATAATCTACACTAACCATAGTTACAAAAACCAGGTAAAAAACAATTTATAAACAAAACCAACAAAAATCATTAAAAAAACCGAAAGTATAATAATAAAATTCAATGGGAAAGATACAGAATAACGTTGTTCAGTTAATTAGTTACGTCATATTCGGCATCGTCTAATTAAAAAGTTATTCGAGCAAGCTGATACAACAGTTAGAAAACAAAGGGAAAAACAAAATGAGTTGTCGATTGTGTTTAAGAACGCTTCTTTTACTTCACTTGCAAGCATGTTTTGTAAGCATCATTAGAACCGGTTCTTTCGAACACGTGGCATCGAATGAAACGCGCCAGGGAATTATTTAAGGCCTCAGTCTTGCTAATTTAATAGCGAGGGATACCGCAAAAAGAATATTTAGAAAGGACGAACGGTGCGAGGAGAATCGACCACTACACGCGTTAAATTTGATTTACGCGCGTCGATGATGTATCAGTTTCATATCGCGACTGATAATCGCCAAGGTCAACTAAAATCTCGATATTCTTATATTTTACCTTGTAACGATACTATGTTACTTCTATCGTGTTTAAAATCTCCGATTTTATTAATAAATAAATTCGCGATATTATTTATAAAATGATTTTTATATTCCATTAAATTTGATAAAATATTTTTCGGGATATAATAGTAAAATTTTTAGAGAAAATTACGTTAAAAAATATTCTAGTTTTATAGTATTTAAATTCTCTACATTTACCTAAGTATAAACTAAAATGTAAATATTATTTTATTTTTTTATATTCGATTTAGTTTATTAACTTAATATTTATAATCGATGTTATTAATTTGAAATCTTTTCATACTGAAATAATGAACTTTACTTTCAAAAGAAGATTATTATTACCGGAGAAAACTATATTTCATTGATATATATATATATATATATAAATGTATTGTTGTTTCTTTTTACGGATATTTCGTGTAAGTTTGATTTTAATAAACTTCATCTATATATATCTAGATTATAATATACACGAAATATTCCTAAAAAGGAACAACAATATATTTTTTTAAATATTCTGAACAATACATAATTACCTTCGACCAAAAATGAAAATTTACTGATAACAAAAAAGCAAAAAGTAGCTAAAATAATATCATTACCTTTGTGTTGAGAAAAAAAAAAAAGAAAAAACAATTAACATACATACACCTACTAATATTGCAACAATACTTTTTAATAGCGTATATTTTTTGTTATAAAGCACATTTCTTTTAGCAATGTGATTTTATGTTATCAATACCAAAACGCATGTATAGACAAACTTTTAAACTACTGATGCGTCATCTCTCGTAAATATATCATTGATATCGATTACGATGCAACCGATCACCTCACCGAGAATGTTTTCTTACATCGAGATCTCTGGTCAAGCAAGGGACCAGGGCCCTTTATTGGATTTAGTCCCCTAATGATTTTGTCAAGTCAGGATGAAAAGAACCTGCCAACATTCCGCCGTGACTCGTTCTGCATTCGAATTTGGCGCTGTACGCACGCTTGGTTAACCGACGGGGAACCCCTCGTAAATTACGCTTCCTGAATCGTAACCCATCACCTAACACAATTATCCGCGAGAAATAGCTGACAGGAAAATAATTCTTTTAATGTGGCCTAATTTCACTCCTGTATTATAATTTTTTATTTATCTTCTTTTTTTATAAATTAATTATTACGATTTAGACTTAATTTGATTACTTTCCAAATTTACATACACATGATCTACCTAAATATAATTAAAAAATATGCACATTCTCATAAATTTTGCGGAAAGAAATATTCTTTTTTTCACTTTACATAAAATAATTCGTACTAACTATTAACAATTATTTAATTTTCATTTCATAAATAATATTTTTAATTATAACCTATTTCGTCTTTATAACTACAGGTACACGTCATCTATAAATAATGGACTATTTCAAAAATTTTTATTAAAAAAAAAAATATCAAAATATACGTACCACTTATTTCCTTAAATGCCACACATTATCAAAGAAGATATTCGCCATTGATTTTCTCGCTATTACGTAAAACTAATAAATCTTTCTCGCGATAGATACATACGTATTGTTTCTTTCTTATACAACGATCTTCTGTCGTTCCAGGAACGGAACCTTCAAACATACACTATTAATTATCAACACAATGCATGAGGATTAGTTTTTTCTGAACCGTGGACCGCCGAAAACGTACGTGCGCCTGGTGCATCTCTGCACGTCACCAGACGTCAACTTTAAATGGAAATGTCTTAATTATCAGAGCACGTAGCGGCTGATAAAAACCACTATTCGTTCCTGAATCATCCCACCGCAACGCTATACATTCGTGATGGTAAAGTAAGATTCTCATATGAAGCCGGCAGGACGTTTGAATACTGGTGACATTTATTAACGGCACCGAAAAAACATTGAAAACAATACATTACAATAAGACGAAAAACTGAACAAACAATTCTTGATTAGCGACAAGGTACATACTCTTACACCGTTCTGTATTAATAGGGAAACCGATTCTGCAACTTAACTACTTTTTACTTAGACAGAGCTCATTGTTGTTTAGATAAATGATACGGATAAGGAAAAAATGAATACAAAAAAGAAACGAGAAATATTAATTAATTATGATCTTACATAAAAATCATAAATCTGAATAAAACTAATGACTAACAAAAATGTAAATTTTGTTCATATTTTCAAGATTAAAAATAACCTTTTTTAATTACATTTATAATTATTAATTTTTTTCATCGATAAGTCCCATTAAAGAATTTCTATCCTCTAAATTTATTAATATTAAAGACAATATAAAATTTTTAACTATCTTTAAGTTAAATAAATAACATACTTATTTAAGAGAATTATTTTTTAATTTTTATACTTTTATAGTAGTAAATTAATATAATAAAAAGCATTTACTCGCATATTCAATTGTGGAAAATAGAAGGCGTAGAATTTCAACAATTGATTATAAAGTTCTATAATATTCAAACACGACTCTTTATTTAAAAGTAAATCTAAAGTAAATAAAAAGTTTATATAAACCGACTTTCAGAAAAAATATTACAAACATTTACAGAATTAATTTATGCAATTGAATTAAATCCAACATGAGTCTTTTCTTTAAAATTATTTTTAGTAATTGGTGAATTCATTTCAATTTTTACGATCTATACAGAAAACATTGGTTGCTTTTTCAGAACGACAAGAATTAGCCAATGGTTGTTTCTACTTTTTGCGCAGGTGCAGTAAATGCAGTCAATGCGAATAAACCTAATGTCGACCGACGTGGATAGACGAGTAGCAAGTAGCACGACGTGCAAATTAATTCTGTGCAAAGTTAAAAAGTTAAATTTATGGCTACTGATTTGTTCTATCGATTATACTGCATTAACATGTGACATACAAGAAAATGATAACGGTTGAAAGTCTGCAGTCTGCAGCAAAAATGAATATGTTCTAAACACTTGCAGCATCATCTTTGAATCAGCTGTCATAAGCAGACGATACACAGGTAAAGTTTACTTTTTAACACTTCGTTTGTTAATTTGAACATCTTTCTTCTATAGAAGTATAATTTCTAATTATTTTTATAGAAATTACAATATAAATATAATGTACTGCAATTTTAATTGCCCTATTTCTTTAACTATATTTTAAATAAATGTTTGAATTTTTATAAATATTATATACTTTATACATTACTTTATCCACATATTGATTTAATTTCAAAACTTATTATATATAAACTTTTGATTCTAATTTCTTTATTTTTTAAATATTTCAGTATCTGATGCCATTTATTAGACTATAAGGTCATGGAATTGACTGAAACTAGTGTACAAATAAGAGATTGTTCCATAGACTTTATTCCTGTTTACATTAAGCAAGAGAATGATGAACATGAAGCAGATTTTAATGATATTGAGATAATCAATGCAGCTCAAAATTTTTGTGCTATTGAAATTAAAGAAAGTAAAGAATGTACTGCAATTAATAATAATGAAGAATCAAATATAAATAACAGAAATTGTCCACAAAATACATCTACTTTAAATAATTCAAACTCAACATTAAATATTACTCAACGACATGAAACTTGCAACATCAATGGTATTTTAAATAGTTCAGTATATTTGCAAAATTTAGATTATGAAAATATCAATATAGAAATACAAAAACCTACAAATCAAATTGCCGAAGTTTTTATTAATCAAAATGAACAACTACAGACAACCAATTATAATGTTTCAACAGTTACTATACCAGGTGAACTTCTAGGACTAAATCTTAATATAAAAAAAGAAATTGAATTAGATCAGGAAACAGTTTATACTACAGAGTGGTTGTGCAATGTGAATAATGAAACTGATCTTCGGCTAAAGGTTTCAAAGAATACTAAAGACAAAATTCAAGAAGTTCCTACTAACATTGATGATGCTATAACATTATTAACTAAACAGAAAGATCAGTCATCAGAGAATGTTAATAATTTGAAAACTAAAGAAAGTAAACCTGAAAAATCTAAAAAACAATTGAAAATAAGATCAAACACACTGCAAGATTACAAAGAGAAATTACGAAGGAAAGCAGAGTGTATGAGAGAGAAAAGAAAAAAATTATATGAACAAGAAAGTGAAGAACAACGTCAACAAAGATTAGCAAAGGAGGCAGCAAAAAGGCGAGAAATGAGAATGTATTATGAAACACCAGAGCAAAGAAGAAAAAGATTAGATGCAGAAGCTGCAAGGAAAAGAGAATACAGAATGTACAGTGAAACACCTGAAGATAGAAGGAAAAGACTAGATCGTGAAGCAGAAAGAAGAAGAATGAAAAGGCTTTCATTGTATGCTAGTGAAACTCCTGAACAAAGAAGAGAAAGATTAAATAGAGAATCAGCAAAGCGAAGAGAGGCTCGGCTTAATCAGTATGCTAAAGAAACACAAGAAGAAAGAAAAGAAAGATTAAAGAGAGATGCTTTGAGAGTCAGAGAAATGAGATTTACTAGATCTGCTATTGAAACAGAAGAGGAGCGCAAACAAAGGTTAGTAAAAGATGCTCTTCGAAAAAGGGAGGTAAGAATACATGGACGTCATTCAGTGAATAATAATTTCACTGAGCTCCAAACTGTTCGCAATTTTGAAGAATTAAACAATGTGCAGATAAAGGAGAATCCTGATAATCAATTGGGAGGTCATTACTTGAGTAACTGGATGGTGTGGTTCCAAAATTCATTAGTCCAACCTGTTCATGTTGGAGAACAAATCGTCAAATCTCAATCTGAAAATAATGGATAAAAAGTTTATTTAATAAATTTTTAGTATTGTATATATAATCTCTAAGCATCGATACATGAAAAAAACACTTAATATCTCGATTATGTATAATGATTTGTACATACCATATATATATGATATTTATGCTTAAAATACAGTAGCAAAGTGTAACACATTTTATGGCCACTGCATCAGCATAATGTTTACCATATATAACATATATTAGTAATAGTTTTAGTAATACGTAGTAATTGTATACCATACAACTTTATTTTTAATATTTATATATTTTACAATCAAATGTGATTATGTTATTATATATTGTTAAGAATGTAAAAACTTGTTATTTAGTATATTTATTAATATAAGAGGAAATTCAATGACTAATGAATATTATAAACATTTGAAATGTTTAATATCATTGAATTTTGTATTATGATAATTAAAAACAATTCAAAAATTTGACTACTTTAAAACATGTACAAAGTATAATAAAATTATTATAATGTTATTATATTATTTAATGTAAATAAGATAAGAATGTTTGTTAAGGTGTTATAATTGTAAAGAATTAGAATTATACATTTCTGAGATAAAAGAAATACTTCTTAACAGTGCCTTTTTGTTCACTGTTCTACAAAAGCAATTTCTAATGTGATTCAACCAATTTATATACATGTATATATCATTTAGATATGAATGAATGATTCTGATAAAAATGTGACTGTTTCTTAAAATATACATATATTGTAATGCAATTTTTTCAACAGTTCCTTTATATGGAATGAAATAAAATAATATGTTAACATAAAATTTTGTTTGATTAATGATCTCCACTTACATAAATAATAACTATTATTTGAATATTTTTAATTAAACAAACACAAGTTATAATTTAGAACAACTAATACATATTTGTGTATTTCTTTTAATATTAAGAAATTTTGTAAACTGTAAAATCATATCTCATAGTATATAACAAAATTTAATATGATCATCTAAAAATTAAATTCATACTTCATATTTACTATTTTAGATTATATTTTATATTGTATACATTTTTTGCTATTCAATAACAATGCTGTTATCAGTACTACTATCCAATTTTTTAAGAATAGAAAAATAATTTATAATATTAATAATTTGCGATAGAAACATCATATATACATATATAATACGTATAAAAAAAGATACTATAACGATGAAATAAGAAGAACATAATAATAATATCAAAATTTATATAAATTTTAATAATATTTTGTATCAAATATATTTGAAAAATTTGTATTGTAAAAAGTGAATAATCTGGAATATTAGTAGTATTTAACATATACAAATTTTAAACTTACGCTATATTAAAAATTAAATAAAACCACGCACAAAAGTTTAAAAAAACTAAATATAAAAATCACTTGTTATTATTCATTGTTTATATGAAAATCAACCATTCCCTCCAAACCTTCATTTTGCATTTCTTGAAAATGATTGGTCGTATATTGACCAATTGCTGTTATTCTTTACTCAGTTATATAGTCGTAAATAATGACCATGTAAGTTGTAACCTAAATTAAAAACGAATTTTTCTAAAATTAAATAAACCAAGTCATATAATCAATATTATTAACAACAAGTTTAAATTATTTAACAAACATCTTAGTATAATAAAATCAATTATATCTCTTTTTAATTAAATATGGTATATTTATTATATAAAAAAGCAATAAGAATATATGAATAAATGTTTCTCTTAACATTTCTTCACAGTTTTATAGATAAAATCAATACATATTTAATATTTATGTTTATATTAATGTAAAATATAATTAATTAATCAAAAATGGGCATAACAAAACAATATTTAAGATATGTATCAGCTGGAAACTTAAATATAATTGTTAGTTCTTCTTGTAATATTGTTTTTGTAACATTACAAGATCAGGAAGGTAGATTTGTAGCAGTTGGTGCATGTGAACATGTTTTTATATGGGATTTACGTCTGGGTGAAAAGGTAAATTATAAATTATTTATTTATTTTCTCACAGTAAAGCATAATATTATTCCTTTAACTTACTTTAATATTTCAGGCTCAAGTGTTATCAGGTGATAAATTAAATGTAACACATTTAGCTGCATCTCCTAATAAACAACATATAGCAGTTGGTTATGCAGATGGAACTATAAAAACATTTGATTTAAAAACAGGAGAAAATAGAAGTATATTTGTAGGTCATAGATCTGAAATTACAACTTTAACTTATGATAGAGAAGGACATAGATTAGCTTCAGGTTCAAAGGTAAAATAATTTAATAGAAGAAATGAAATATAAATATATCAAATATTAATTTTTAATTTCCTCATTTCAGGATACGGATATTATTATTTGGGATGTTGTAGCTGAAACTGGTATATGTCGATTAACTGGACATAAAGGCGTAATAACTAGCTTAGCATTCATGAAAGATCATAACATCATTATTAGCTGTAGTAAAGATACATTTGTAAAATTTTGGGATTTAGACACTGAACATAATTTCAGAACTCTTGTTGGTCATAGAACAGAAGTAAATACAATTATAGATATGTATAATTCAAATTAATTTTATTATGCAATATATTATTAGTAATTTTTTTTCTTTTTATTCAAGGTTTGGAGTTTAGTTTTAGTTAAAAATGATCAGTATTTAATAACTGGTTGTAATGATAATGAATTACATATATGGAAAATATCTTTTACTAGATACTATGCTGTAGACCTTGATGTTAATTTACATGATATAACGCTCACTGATGCTGTAGTTAGTGATATGGTAAATATTTAATTTTATATTTACATTTATAATATATTTATTTCATTAATTTTTAATAAAAGTTAATTACATTTTTATAGAATCATCCATTAAGATGTGAAAAAGTTGGAAGCATATTAAGAAGTAGTCATGGACGTGTTGTGTCTCTTGAAGTTGATTCTACTTATAGTGTTATTGGATGCCATGGTTTAGATAACACTGTAGAATTATTTCAGTTATTACCTGATACTAAAATAAAAGATAACATTCGTAAACGGTTACGAAAAGAAAAGAAGAAACTGGAAAAGTATGCAGTGATATTTTTCTAACACATTAATAAAATTAAAAAATTTCTTAAGCATACAAATATTTGTTATGTATATTACTTTTTATATTTAATAGAAGTGAAAAGAAGTTGGAAGCAAATTTCTCAGGAACAGCCACTATAAAGGATGAAATCATTCGTTTACCTTTTATCAAAGTATCTGCTAAAGTGAAAGGATTATGTATAATAATGGGCAGAAATGGCGAACTTAGAGTAGGTTTTAATGAAAATTCTTACTTTTTTTTAAATGATTAAAATTACTATGAAATTAATTTTTATTTGTCATTTTAGATATGTATAGGATTAAATAATAATTCCATTGACTTATATTCACTTTTCACAAAAGAGAAAGATGCAGAAGTAAAACATTTGAGATCAATAACAAATCATGGTCACCGCTCAGAAGTCCGTGCCGTTTGTTTCAGTTCTGATAATTTAGCTTTTGCAACAGCAAGTGGCGATTCTGTTAAATTATGGAATAGGTATTAAAATAAAACTATTAAAAATTTATAGAAAAATTTAGTAATGACACGTTAATTTCTGTAATTTTAGACCAACTTTAGCATGTTTACGTACTGTACAGTGTGGTTATGCTATAACTACAACATTTGTACCAGGAGATAGACATTTAATTGTAGGTTTAAAAGATGGTAAAATGCTAATTATTGACATTGCATCAGGTGACATTTTAGAGGAAATACCTGCACATTCTAAAGAACTTTGGAGTGTTACATTATTTCCTGATAAAGTAATTTTAAAAAATGTACTTTATACTATTCATAATATTTGTAATATATAAATTCATAATTATTTTATGTATTTTTCTAGAAAGGAGTAGCTAGTGGTGGCGGAGATCAAACTGTAAAATTTTGGAATTTTGAACTAATTCAAGATCCTGATAGGGAAATAAAAGCAAAAGTTTTATCTGTTCTACACTTAAAAACTTTAAAATTGGAAGATAGTGTATTATGTGTAAGAATAAGTCCTAATAGTAGATTCGTTGCAGTTGCACTACTTGACTCTACTGTAAAAGTCTTTTTTCTTGATACATTTAAGGTAATTATATGAAAATATACATGTAATTTCCACATTATTACATAATCTGAAGATTCTGTATTATTATTTTAGTTTTTCGTTTCTCTTTATGGACATAAATTACCAGTATTATGTATGGATATATCAAGTGATTCAACACTTATTGCTACTGGTTCTGCTGATCGAAACATAAAAATTTGGGGTTTGGATTTTGGAGATTGTCACAAATCAATATTTGCTCATGATGATAGTGTAACAGGGCTTTCATTTATACCTAATACACACTATATCTTTACTTGTGGTAAAGATGGAAAAGTAAAACAATGGGATGTTGATATTTTTCAAAAAATTGTAACATTACAAGTAATACATTTTTTTTAAAATACTTGGAAATTGTAAGTTAACGAATATAACGAGTAAATTTTTCTTATTTAGGGACATGTAGGTAAAGCATGGAATTGTGCTGTTTCACCAAATGGAGTTTATGTTGTTTCTTGTGGGTCTGATAGAATAGTTAGATTATATGAACGAACTTCAGAACCTTTAGTTCTTCAAGATGAGGAAGAGGAAGAAAGAGAACAACAAGAAAATGAGTTAGCTACCGGAGAGAGTACCGTTGTTCCAGGACAAAAACAACAATCTCTACCTTCAAGAAAAACCGTATCTAGTGAAAAAGGAGTAAATATCGATAAAATAGATGTGAAAATTAATTCATTTAGATAATTGTGTATAATTTAATTTATGTAATTTACAGGCTGAATTAATATTGGAATGTTTGAATATATCTAAAGAATATAATGAACAACTATCAAAAGTAACAGCAAATAAAATACCTGCTATTCCTTTGCAAATGCAAGCTTATAATTGTACAAATACAGATGATTATTTGCTAGAAACAATTAAACGAATTAGAGGGAGGTAAGAAATATGTATGCAAAATATACATTGAAATATGAAAATATAGCAATAAATAAATACATGATAAAATCATTTTATAGCGATTTAGAAGAGACATTGTTATTGTTACCATATTCAGCTGCTTGTGAAATTCTTAAAGTGCTTCCCAAACTATTACAGTTAAATTCTCATACAGAATTAATTGCGAAACTAGCATTATGTTTAGTGCAAGCTCATCATGGTCCAATTGTAGCTACACAAGAACTTTTACCTATCTTAGAAACTGTGACAACGCTTGCTATTAAAAAAGTTTCGGAACTAAGGGTAAAAACAATTTTATTCTATCAAAACTGCATTTAACTATTTATATAAAGAATATTAATTTAAAATTAGTTACTTCAGGATATAATTGGATTTAATTTACATGGAATGATGTACATGCAACGAGTTATTGAAGAAAAGGAAGGAATACAGCTCTTCAGAGATGCAACCCAAAGCAGTAAGCATAAAAATAAAGTCAGAAAAAATAAAGAAAAAGCAATAAAAAGAGCAATTATGTCTTTGTGAAATGTTTTACTTAATAATGATAAAAATATTTCGTATATACTGACAATTAATAAATATTAAAATAATTATATTTAACTATATTTATTATCCTTAAACATAAAATATAATTCTTAAATAAAAATAGAGTGAAAAAACTTTCGTGGAGGAAGAAAAGTAATATAGTAAGTATATAATCAAACAACAATAAAAATTTTATTAATATACAACATATTTCATGTTATTATTTAAATAACTTTTGATTTTTTCTCGCTATAATCTTTGGTGGTATTTTATCTTTTTTATACACATCTATACAATTTCTCATTTTGATAATTTTAACGATTCATATATTTTATTACATTTAATTTGCGTACATAAATCTGTCATAAATGACGCTACCTGAGCTTCTTTGTCTTTTTGTTTGCCACTTTCAAATACAGTAACCAAAGTCATTCTAGGATCAGTATTATACATGGCATATGTACAAACATCCTAAAAAAAAATCAATTTGTATTAACATGCACAACTTATTAAACAGTATGTCTATTAACATACTTTTACATGTTTACAATATATAATTTTATCCATAGCAAGGAGTTCTGTATGTCGTTCTTTAATTCGTTTCTGTATATTATCGAAATGAATTGATGGCTTCTGTATAAATATCTAAAATATAACATTTCTTTGAGAAAACAAAATTTATTTTAGTTTTATATTAACATTAGACATAAAATATTAAATTTTCTGTTTATTTCATATATAATTCATATAAACTTACACTAGGACAACTAAGAACGACAGGGAATTGTTCAGATGTATTTGGTTCTCTACAAGGATGTCTATAACCTGGACCTGCATCTTCTATTCCTCTAGAGTCAAATATTATTAAGACAGCCAAAACATCGTGTTTACGTTGAAAGCTTTGTATTCTACAATAAAAATATATCAATACTTACTCCATTATTTATTGATTCAAATAATTAAAGATATTTTACTTATGGTAGTAATCCACATTTTGTTTGCTCATGATACTTCTCATTTCTCCTGGACTAGCCTGCTGACTTAAAGTAGTATGAAAATATAAAGAGCATTTAGCTAATATGCTACTACGTAGTTTCACTAACCATTGATACAATGCTGGTTGCTGATTTGCTTTCAAAAACGAAGCACTGAAGCCAAGTTTCCATGACTAAAAACATAATATTTATTAAATGGAGGTCTCAATCTAGAACTTTTACAAAACTATATTTTTTTACACTTTACAATTTTTTGACATTTAAAGTATATGTATAGAAAATTTGAAATTACTCAAAGTTACTGAAATTACATACTTTTGTATAATAGTTGCCACTAGGTTTAATTTTATGGCTAAAATTTTAAACACATTTTTCTTCAAACATCATTTTTTAAACTGATGCAATAAATATCTCAAAAATAATTAATCTATTTGAATTCATCTTAATTTAAAACAATTATAGAATATAGTTTTCTACAAGTAGTAGATCTCTAATATTTAAAATTTTTTTAATTTTACGAATTTTTTTATTTGAAATTTGTAGTAGAATTTTCAAATAGAATTTTTCAAGAATTATTATTAAACACGGTACATGTACTCTTAATATTTATATTAAATAAAAAAAACTTTTATATATTTAAAAGTTATATTATGAAATGTGAAAAACCGCAGATCACCATTTTGTTTAGCTTAGTATACAAAAGATCTCAAAAATGATCAGTTTCTAGCCTCCTAGACCAGAACCTCTCCTTAATCAAACATCTTTATCTTATTCATTATCTATATTATTTACCTCTTTACTTTGTAAAGTTCTCTCCCAAGCTGACATTCGTGTCTGTGCACCATAAAGAGCCATTAATGTTAATAAGAATCTCCAATGTTGGAGTTCAACTTGTGCCTTTGTTAATTGCACTAATATTTCGCACTCTAAACTAATCAAATCATCTTTTAATCTCAAGAAAAATAAACCTAGACTATAATACCTAGTTTTCAGTTCTTAATAGTTTATTTTTATTTGTACTTACGTTAAGCTTGTTTTAATAGCAGTTAATGCTAGATGCGAACAAGATAAAGAATGAATTTCTACTATTCCTTCTATACATTGTAATAACTCTTGATATTTCATAGTTTTACTGTTGATACTCATGTTGTACATTTTCTCATAACTGTAATAGAATAACATATGAGATATTTAACAACAAGTTAAATTAACAACATACTAACAAATCTATGAGTTGTATTTTTGCTGTAATATATTGACACAGTTGATAAGAAACCTCAGCAACTGTTGCACCAACTGAATTGGTTCCCCTGGTCATTTCCTCTACTCTTTTCAAATCAGATTTCAAAGACTCATATACTGTTCGTAGTGAATTCTGAAAAAAGAAGTTTACATCAAATGTTAAATAAATTTCAATATTCTTTATTTTTAAGATGAATATTAATGTATTTACATCTTTCCTCAGAAATCCTTTATTTTTGGTATGAAGAAAACCTAGGTCTGCATATGAATGTTCTGCTACTGCTATTTGTGGTAAATGCATAAGCAACATTCCCCATGGACCCATTTGTGTTTGACGACATGAACCACGTTCTTTTTCCTAAATATTAATTATTAAAAGTACAATTAGTAGACTAACAATTAGTTCTGTATTCAATATATTACTAAAAGCAAATGCAAAAGTTCTGAATTATTTGACTATTTCTTTCACACATTTGTATATTTTATTATATATACATCTTAAAATGATATACACATTATTAGAAGAAACATAAAAATTAAATTTCAGAAAAATACATATCAACTGTATATTCAGTTATATTAAATGTTATTGAAAAAATTGTTATTATACTATTAGTAAATTTAAATATTCTTCATAATGATTACTTACAACTAGTTCCTTAGCTTTGTCAGTACACAATTGAGCAACTTGAGCGAAGAAGGTATTAAGAAATTCTTCTTCGTGATCCATTTTTTATCTGTTTTTATTATAATTACGACAAAATTGTTTATGTTTATTTTCATTACTCATATTTCTAAAGGTTATAAAATCTTGCAATAGTGTATATTACATTGAATTGTAATTCATTTTAATATCAATTTATGATTGTAGCGACATCTAAGTTACGCATGTCATTTCTCAAACCTAATTCGCGCCAAAACTGAATCATTTAAATAATCCTAAGGAAAAAGATCAGCATTGTTTTCAACAAAACCTTAAGCTTGCATTTATGTGATACAAATTCCAAATTGTGATAAAATTGTTTATAAAAATTAACTAACTATTCTTACGTTAAATCATAAATGTACTTTAGTATTTTCAATATTTATTAATTTTTACAAAATCATTTCCTTTTTCTAGTAGTTAGTTTGTTGTTTAGCGACATCTATCAGAATCACGTGTTCTAAGATAAGTAAACATAACTTCCGTGATCAAGTTCTACAATTACAGATATACTTCATGAAATTAGTATTTTTAAACTTGTAATTTAAAATCTTTTAAAAGTTTAATGTATCTAAATACAAATTCGTATAAAATAAATTAATTGTATAGTATATTTATATTAAATACTTTTATGTATGGATGATTAATTTTGAGAACATTAAATGTCCTTCATGAATATCGTGTAAATTTCACAATATAGAATATGCATCGTGGAACATTTAAACAGTATGGGTAGTACATATTCCAACGTTTCGGTGTGCTTATGGTAGAAGTGTGAGACATGTTAAGCATAGAAAAGTTAAAATTAAAATCTTCAGTATTATTATTATTATAAATTAAGAACAATGGATTTTAATCAAGGTTCAATTTTATATATATTTATAGTACATTGTTTCCTTTTATCTACAGTATTAGGTGAAAGTGAACCTATATACGATGCTAGATTTCAAATGATAATGACATCTTTGGTAAGTATTTAATTTAATTATTTTGTATTAAATAATATTCATTCTTTATTAAATTTACTCATATTAATGTTTATATTGAATATTAGAAACCCGAGAATGCAATGCCACCACAAACCAAGGATAACCTCGGCTTTTTACACGCATTCGTAGCTTCTTTATCTGTCATTGTTGTTTCTGAGTTAGGTGATAAAACTTTCTTTATTGCTGCTATTATGGCAATGAAACATCCGAGGTTGACAGTTTTTATAGGAGCAATTAGTGCTCTAATTTTGATGACTCTTCTTTCAGGTATTAAATAATTTTTATTTTAGATGTGCACACACACACACACACGCGCGCGCGCACGCATACAAAATGACTGATAATATTATCTTTCTTCTTAATTTATCTCTTTTATCTCTAAATTTACTTTGATTTAAATCTTACATATTATGATATACTCATATGTATATAATATATGTTATATAGAGTGTTCATTTCAAAACTTAAAATCTAAGTACTTGTAAACATTGTTATTGATTTGTCATTTAGTTATAAAAAATTATTAAGAAGTTCTGTTTGTATGTTTTAATTTTTCATTCTTTATTTTCAAAATAGTAAACCTGAAAAAAATTAATTTTATTAAATACCTATTTAAAATAAAATCTAATAAGGAAATATTTCACATAAAAAGCTATTCTTTTTTTGTATAGGATAAGAATATGTAAATAAGAATATAGATTTCCATTAAAAAAAAAAAATTACCCTTGAAATAATCTTGTAACCATTTAACAAATAAAAATAAATTAAATTGTATTTTCCTTTTGTAACTGAGAAATTTCTATATTTAATATTTTTCCCAGAATTGTGTTATTTTCTAGGTACTTAGATTAAAATTTTTCAAATGAACTCCCTTGTATAAAGTATTATAAATAAATATTTAATGAATGAAGTAATGTATTAAAAAACTAGTTATTAGAACTTCTATTGCTGTAAAATATAAACTTTTTGCCTTCTTTTTTGTTTTGATTTCGAAACAAATTTATTTTAATATATTAATTTTCTGTCATGAAGATATTCTCTTATAAAAATTATATGACGTACACTGTATTATGTATAAAGAAAGTTAGAAAAATAAAAATTATAATAGTAATATTTCTTGTTTATCTTTAGTAATTTTTGGATATGCTGCAACTATGATTCCTAGTTTTTATACATACTACATTTCTACTGCACTTTTTGCAATATTTGGTTTGAAAATGCTAAGAGATGGTTATAAAATGACTACAACTGAGGCCCAAGAGGAATTGGAGGAAGTTCAGTCTGATTTAAGAAAACGTGAAGATGAGGTATCAGTATCCAAAATCTGTAGTTTTATACGATTATAATAAACTTTATAGAGTAAATATTTTGAAACTATTGCTTCAATATTTTTTCAGGAATTAAATAATCTTTAAATATTACTTTTAGTATGAAAAAGAAACTGGAAACACTTTAATACAAGATCCAGAAACTGGTGTAATAAGAAAAGCAACAAAAATTAGTGCACTGATGCTTCTTTCTAGGATATTTCTTCAAGCATTTATGTTAACATTTCTTGCAGAATGGGGTGACCGTTCACAGCTTACAACAATTATACTTGCAGCAAGAGAGGTGAACAATTTTATATTTAATATTTAACAATATATTATTATATATAAAGTAATTCTGAATTATAATCATAAAAAACTAAACAAAATATTTTATTCTTAGGATGTTTATGGAACTGTAATAGGTGGAATATTAGGACATTTATTCTGTACAGGATTGGCAGTATTAGGAGGAAGAATGATAGCTCAGAAAATTTCAGTCCGAACAGGTAAATATGCTGTTTTATATTAAAAAATAGGTAACGCTTTCAAAATGATTTTAAATTATATAACCTATATATAAATAAATTTAATAATTATTAACCCTTTGAGCGCTATGAACCCATATATGGGTTCTCACACAACCATTCAATTTGGGCTATGAACGCATATATGCGTTTTCACCTACCATTCAATCTGGGCTATTAACGCATATATGGGTTCTCTCACACCATTCAATCTGGGCTATGAATGCATATATGGGTTCTCACACAACCATTCAATCTGGGCTATGAACGCTGTATAGTTTTATAAAATAATAATTTTGTAATAAATGCACAATGCAAAATTATTAAATTTTCAATTTAAAAGATATAATTTACTTTTTTTTATATTGTGTTATTATTGCTGTATTTTGTATATTATATTTTTTATATATTATTATTGCTTAATGAAATAAATGGTTTTATTAAAGTTTTTACAGTCACTGCTCAAATTATTTCATTTACAATCAACATATTTTGCAATGAAATTTCAGTTAACGCAGCATGCGCTTCATCGTAAAAAGCAGACAGCCCAGCGCGTGTTCTGTTGTAAGAATTGGGCGGTCTACCGCGCACGCTTAACGTCGCATAACTCAGCGCTCAAAGGGTTAATAATACAGTAATAAAACTCAAGGAAAATAATGAATTGAAAATATTTTTATTATTCATAGTGACCATAATGGGAGGATTAGTGTTCCTATTATTTGCCTTCACAGCACTTTTTATTAGTCCCATAGAAGATGTATGAAAACAATATGTAGTATTTATATACTTATACAAGGTATTATAAAAAAAGGGAATAGATTTTGTAAACTACATCATAAGGATAATAAGATATCCAATTAACATTAATTCTAAAATCAATGCTTTTGGTAAAACAAACAAAAATTTGTTTTTACTTTTGTAAAAGATATTTAATACTTTTAAAATATACTTTAATACTTCTGTAAAAGATATTTTCCTTTCATTTCAATATAAAGATGATATAGAATATAGATCTTTCGTCTTAAACAACCTTTGTTAATATTACTAATAATTCTTCTATTTACTTATTATCTTAAATAAATTTCTTAAATATAAAATTTGATATAAATGATTGATCTTTGGACCAATATTGCTTAAATAGTTTTATTCTTCTCAATGAGTACCATTAATTTACAAAGTTTTAGATCCCTTTCTGCATCTGTACATCATAAAATATATTTTGTTTGTAAGATAATGTACATATTTTTTATAATTGTACAGAGACTGTTATAAGATAATAAAAATTATAATATATGTAAAATTTCATGTAAAAGGTACTTATGTATATATTTTATCCAGTATGTTTGAAATAATAATGTTACACATAATTACTAATATGAATAAAATTATTACAAAATTAAGTAATATGATATAGCAAATATCAAATAACAGTGTTAAGTGTAAAAATAATAAATAATATCATTATAAGTTATTTTATTGAATATTTTCTGTTAGAGTATATACACAATCTACTTATACTACATAAATTTTTCTAGAAATTTTAAAGACATTTAAATTGAATTACTATTATTGTTATTATTATTATGTCTATCATTATCAGCATTATCATTATTTTACTAATGCTAATGTTACTTTATTATGAAAAATTAACATATTAAATCTATATTCGTATACCGGGATTATAAATATGGAGAAACATGCTTTTTATGATACGATTAAATTTTAATGAATTAAATAACAAAGACATGTAATATTTCTTTTATAAATATAGAATTAACGATATTACATTAATGAGTGAATTTATTTTAAAAGAAATAACGAAATATAAACCGGCTGTAAAATCAGTCTAAGGGCATAATACTAACTTCTTACAGCTTAATCATCATTTTCGAATATCGATAAATACGAGTACTATAACACAATCGCAATTATTTTAAAAGTTGTAATATATAAACTTCGAATATTTAGCATTATAACACATATGTAGCTACTGAGAAAATTGAGACATAAATGCTACAGTTAATGTTGCACTGAACAGCGTAACATTACGTACATTAGGTACGATTATTTACTCTTCATGATCTATGTACTATTTATTTAATATTGTGTTGTATTATTGGTTCTTAATCCAGTTATTTAAGCACTGCAACCCTGTAAAATATAATTTACCTGTTCATATAATTTTTATAAAGAATTAATTTAGGAATGTAAAACTGGAAATATATTTTCAATTATATATTTTAATTTCTTCGAATTTTACTCCTTGATCCATAATTCCATAGTTCATAACGTGTTTGTTATATACAATGTACGGAATAAGTTCATCCATAGGAATTAAAAACGTAATTAATAAATTAAATAAGATACCAATCGATCTTCTTAATGTAAAATGTAACTTTGTATTTATGAATAATGTAAACAGAAGCGTCAGTTTAAAAATATATTAATTAAAAAAACATCGTATTGTAATAAAAGATTATTAAGGAATGAATATATTAAATTTGTTAAGTAATTCTATAAAAAGATACAAAATTACATTTTAGACCAAAGAACTGTTATTCTTTTAATTATTTTTTTGAATATTTAAAATATTTTTTTAAAAATATACTACATATTACTTTATATCCTTAAAACAAAAGATAAAACTTTTAATAAATTCTTAGATTATTATCTTACTTAATAAATATTAATAGAAGTTAATTCATGTTGGACTTGGCTGGCTAGTAGTTCTACATTGTGCTTCAGATACTCGAAGTTTTTCAAGCCTATGCAATGGATCCATTAGGCTTTTTTCTTCAGTACCAGCAGATTCAGCTATTTCTGTAACATGCAGTTTACATAAAAATGATAAACTTATTTCAGTATTTCATATCAAGTATTTACCTGTTGAGTATTGATTATTTGTTTGTGTTATAAGATTTTGATTTTTTCGTGCTTGATCAATATCTCTTAATCCTTGTTCTATAAAGTCTTGGAAAAATTGATGAGACTTAACTAAAAAAGGTTGTACATCTGCTTCAGGATATTGAAGTTTAAACTCATAAAGTTGCATTAAACCCTATATGAAATAAGTACATTTATTGTAATATTAAAATATTAGCCACAAAATTCGTTATTTACCACTACACATACTTCTTGTGTATGTTCTTTAGATCCAATTTTTTTAAATATTTCAGACAGTTGTTGATGAGTGAATTTTGATAAATGTTCTTGAGTTTTCCCAGTGCTGCTGGATTTTACAGTTGATCTAGGATTGCTATTAATTTCATCTGGCTTAAAAGTCTATAAAACATTATATATAAGAAATTAAAATTTTATATACTTTATGAGATTTAATGTTTCATAATATTTAATTAACTAACCGCAATTAATCTGATAAGATACGAATGTAATTCCGATTCATTTGTATTGTTTATTCGTGTTAAGTGACTGAGTATTGTACTGCCTTTCACACGGGTCATACTGTGAAGAATAGTTTTAATTGTTCGTAATGGAGTATCAGATTTTCGTTTTTTCCACCACACACTTGGATAATCCTATAAAACATGTATTTGTAAATATCTCGATTATCGTAAATGACGCTTAAATGTTGTGCCATGTACAAGATAAATGTACTTAAAAAAAGAAATTTACCTTAAGAAACCGATGTACTTCTAAGAGAATAGTGTCATAATCTAAATCTGCAGCCCAATTAGGAATTGTTTTCACTATTTTCCACAAACACTTCATTACTAATTCTTCATATTTGGATGGAGCGGTAGATTCAGCACATCCATGGAGTAATTTTATTAAAACACTTAGTATTAAAAGAATAAAAATATTAGTTATGCTTAATGTATATTAAGCGACACGCGCACACACGTACAAATTCTAATATTAATAAAAGAATTTTTTTAAATTATTACCATATAATAGTAGTATGATTTGAGTTGTCTATTATTTTACAAACGATATTGTTAATTACGCGATAATATGCTTCTGCTTGATGTAAATGATTCAATTTGTGCTCAGCTAACAAACTGATCATTTGATCCACAAGTTCTTTTAGATGTATTAAAGGAACGTTTTTTCCAAGAATTCCAGTATCATAAAACTGTAAACAGTTTCATAATAAATACTATTTATATCCTACTATTTTATATATACTATGTAATTAATTCTTACCGCTAATAAAACCATAAATGTATTTCTAAAACCTTTAGATATATCTGTTCCTCCTTGTTGTAAAGGATAAGTTTGTAAGAGTTTTAATTGCATATTTATAGAACCAATAAATTTATCTTCTTTAGATTGCAAACTTAAAATTTGATGAGATTTTATCAACTATAAAATAATTTAGAATTATGAATATAAATATGTTATATAATATAATATAAAAATATATATTCTAATACAAACAATATTTATACTGTTCATCGACTGAATTGCAATAGCTAAATCTAGACTAGCCATCGCAAGAATTTTTCGTTCAAGGCTGTCTTCTTTGCTAGTGTTAGCAGGACTCAACTGCTGTTGTGTCATTAATGCAGATTTCGATACCAATAATTTTGGAGGAGATATAGGAATCACCCTGAAAAAATTGAATACATAAAAATCTAAAATTTCAAATAACTTATGTACCAGATTCAGAAACAATAAAATAAAATGAAGAAAATTACATTTTCTATTCCATTTATTCAGTAAATATAATTAATTACCGAAATAAAAAATAATAACAATTACTTACGGTACTTTGTTTAAATTTATGTTGGAATTTTCATTCAAGTCTGTTAAATTAATTTCTAGAAGAACAGGATTACTATACTTTACAGGAGCATTTAATTCAATTCTGTGTAACAAATCCATATCAAGTCCAAATGGACCTGTAATTTTTGGTTGTGTTGATGTTGGAGAATTTCTAAAAATTAAAAATACATCAAAGATATATAAAATTATATTAATAGCAATTATAAATAATTTTAGTCTAACATTACTATTAAATTATCTCACCACCTTAATAAAATTGAACCAGTTTCAAACTACAAAATTTAAAATATATTTGTTACTCTTTTATAAAGTTGATAATTATTACTTCTACAAAATAATAAATATTTAAAACGAAAAAACAAACTTATACATACAATAATACCAATAAATAAATTTATATAACTACACTGGAAGAAGAAGATTAAACATGCGATTATTTGTTATATCCCCTATACCCGCCACCAGACATATTATACAGCCCTTTAAAAACAAATCACAAAAAGCACAAACGTTTTAGTATCATCTTCATGATGATTTGGAGGCGAGATATTTATTTCTGATGGTATGTTTGAAAGAGGTTCATTAGATTCATTAGATTCTGTTGTTACGTTTGCAGTCTCTGTTACTTGTGACCTGGAAAATCATTAAAAGCAAATTCATTCAAATATAAATTAAAAAAAAAATAAATAAATAAAATACAATTATTAAAAAAATATTGTATTAAAAATGTTTTGTTCAGGAATATTGTCAAGTTAATAATGATATTAAAAGCAATAGCATTGGATATATATAAATGATACCACGGTATAAAAATAATAATACACAAAATACGTAATTTTATGTACAAATGCTATTGAAAATATAAAAATTTTAACGTAAAAATATACAAAAACGTTTCGTGACACATACAGCTCACTTGGTTGAGGTGGTTCAGAAGGAGGTTGTGGTTCAGGTATTTCATCATTTTCTTCTTCATATTCTGTCTTAACATCTTCATTGGAAGGAATAGGTGTTGCATTTGAAGGTGTTGAAAGTCTATTGGTAGAAGCCGATTTTGTTGGGTAATTTTTAGCAGCTCTTTTAATACGTTCATCTAGTAATGATTGATCTTTCTCAGATATCTAAAAAGGAACGAACTAATTACTGAAAAAATCACGATTGTAGAGTAATAGGAATACTAAATAAATATTATAAAATTACCTGACCAATAAGCTTATATATTCGTTCTCCTTGGAGGAAATACGCTTGAACAATACAATTTAAAGCAGCATTTCGAACAGAATTATCACGATCTGCTATTTGTTTTGCAATTTCTTTTAGTGCCACAGATCTAGATGGTTGACAAACGGATAATCCATAATTTTCAATAAGAGAACCAAGTTGGTCTAAGCACTCTACAAGCAATAATTATTAGTATTTACTAATTATACTCTTTATACTTCTAAATTATATTATCTACCTACCTGTTCTCTGTCGAGCATTTTTAGATTTTAAGCCTTCCATTACATAAGAAAATAATTTGCTTACTGGATATACTAAAGCTATTTGTTTAAATAATGCACGAACTCCATTACGCACTGCATCTTTAGGGTCACCAATCTAAACAAAAATGTTATACATTCAAGTGTAAATATATGTTAATAAACAGGTAATAAAACAATATTACTAAAATAGTAAAATATAAAGTGACTTACTTTGATAATAAGATATGGAATAAACGATGCAGCTTCATTTTCCAACATATGATACTGATTTTCTATTAATAAATTAAATACCATCCGTAAATACTCTAAACCTTTTAATAATACTGAAGGGTTAGTGTCAAAAAATCGTAGCGTCAACCATTTGAGAATAAGATCTAAATTCGATACCAATGCTTTACTATTGTCAGGCAAATCCTAAAATTGACAAAAATAATAAATATTAAAAACATTACATTATGAGGTTTAACACGTTGAATGTTCAAAATAATTACCTCTGTTAATGCCTCAATTGCTTTAAGATGGTATCGAAAATCTGAATGAAACATATTTGCTAGCAAAGTTTTATTCACGTTTGCAGCAGTCATAAGTTCTTTTAAGAGTTCAACGAATTCTTCTCTTGGTGTTGTAAAATTCCATTTCAAAACTTTTAACTTTTGTTCATCAATGGCCCTTTGGTGTTTTAAATTATTTGTAGCCAATAAAGGACTTGTATCCACATCGTCATCTTTTTTACGAGCGCTACCAGGTTTTGATGTCGATTGATTTTGTTTAGGCTTTACTATTGCTTTTGCAGCTTTCAAAGCTCCAGCACTTTTAACAACTTTCTGGTTATTTTCCTTTGGTACTTGTTTTTTCGGTAAAGGTTTTATAGGTAAATTCGGTCGAGATTTATCTAATGCAGCAAGTACTACTGTACGCGATCCAGGTTTTAGTTTTTCTGTATTTCTTGCCATTACTTCATAAGAAAGATGGATCATAAATCCTAAAACTGCTTCTTGAGCATTTGTTCGTACATCTGAATTACGATCCTCTAAATTATTGTACAAATACGGAAGACAAACAAAAAGTTCTTCTTTTGGTATTTGTTTTACAGGAATTAATGGCAACTTTTGTGCTAGCCAACACCAAACCTCAGCTCTAAGTATTGGTGATCCAGATTTTAGAGCATCTCCAATCATTTCACCATCAAAAAATTCTTTATAACCACATTGATCTCCCCATGTATTTATGCAAGAAATAGCTGCAGTTCTAATCCAATTTTTATTATCTCCTAAACATTGTATAAAACCAGGGAAAAGAACTCGAATATGTTGCTTTACTGGAGAACCCATTGCAACAGCTAAAGCTTGACATATGCCTAAAGTTGACTGAGCTATTTTACTATTACTATCAACTAATCGTAATGCCAAACCTTGCGGCAAATCTCCGATAGAACCTTTTATAAATTTTGCCTCGTATATAATAGCATTCACTTTTTGTAAACCTTCATTTCGTACCTAATTTAAACAGAAATAATTTAGATTATTAGATAATAACACATACCAAGATATAACACTACCTACCTTCCAGTTTTTATCAGATAGTTCATTAAGGAGGCTTTCAGTAATTTGATTATTAATATCAACACGTGGAATAAGATTATTAATATCAATTTCACTATTACTACTAGATTTTTTATCCATTTCTATATCCTCATCATCATCACTTATTTTATCTCTTTTGGTTTTTATTCCACGAATTGGTATAGGTGGTGCCTCTCCACTATGCTAAAATGTAGTAACTTATGTTAACAATATTGTCATTATATAAACACAAAGTTTAATTTAAATAAAATATTATCAACTTTGTACTATGTACTGTATAATTTACTATACAATGACAGATTTACCTTTTCACATTCTTGTTCAATTTGTTGACGTAAAGCTGGTTTTTCATTCTCAAAAAACATGAGTAATGGTTTACCTATAAATAAATACAATGTACCTAGTAATGTAATAGCTGATGTGCGAACACCAGGATTTGTTGCTGCAACTGCTTTTTTTATATTTTCCATTAAAGATTTAACATTGATACTGAAACATATGTATGTTATATTATGTTATATATATATAATTTTATTATAAATTTATTATCAAAATTTAATATTACTTACACACAACCAAATTCTATAAGAGCTCTACATAACAATGCTAATGTTTCTTGTTGAACTTTAGGATTCTTTTTATTAAAAGCAAATGCTACTACTTCATTTGCTACATATTCCAAACTTGTTGCTTCTGCTATTGCTAAAAGAGTTTCACCAGCGACTGTGCTATTTTTTGCATCCCCTAATTTCTCCGTTATATCCATGATGCAATATTCACAAACAGTACTATAAGAAAATATAATTATATTATATATTCAAACTATATTTTAATAAAAAATTAAATATAATTTATCTTACGTTGAAAATGGAAAATTTTCTGCCAAAAACTTTACTATTTCTAATCGTAATTTGAGGACTTGGAAATTGGTATCTTTGAAACCTGGTTTCTTTGCTAAAGTTCGTACAATCACTTGTATAGGTATTTCTGTTGGATCCATTTGCTTTACGAACTAAAACAATGTTACATTACTTGTTAAGTAACGTGTACCATAAAATTATCATTTTGCTTAAAATTACGGACAAATTGTAATAAGTATTTTAATTACTTCCAGAAGTTGTTCAACTGCAGCTAATCGAGTCTTCCAATTACTGTCGACGAGACCAGTAAGAATGTCACCTGGCAACATTTGAATAGCCATTTCCTCTATTTCTTCAATGCTGTAATTTTTTTCTGTTTGAAGCTTGGTCGTAGATGGTTTTTTAGAAACAGCTATAATTAATGAAGATTAAATAGTACTAAGTACAATGATAAATTTTAGTTATTATTACTATACTCACCTAGATTAGTTAAGGATGAAGCAGATGGTTTTTTACTCGGAAGTTTTTTTGATGTACTAGTATTAGGTCTTTTTACAGTTTTTGATTCAAGCTCTTTAGTTTTTGCTGTGGATTCAATTTTACTTGGAGCAGTATTTGGTCTTTCTGTAACTACTTTCGATGCATTAGGAACTTTAACATGAATTACGGCCTTTTCTGCACATTCTTTTATCTAACAAAGAAAAATGAAAATAGATTAATAAAATTTATATAATACGTATAATTAATCTTAAATACCTTAGTCATTTTCAAATTATCTATATCTGTAAGGAATGGCATCATAGATTTTTCACCAATTAATTTCATGGCAGTACCAAGAGCCTCTGCAGAACTATCTCGTACAATTGGATCTAACATAAATAAATTTTATGATTATAAATTAAAATAGATATTAGTTAAAATAATATTAATACTAATTTTAAAATATACCTGGTTCATTTAAAGTTTTCAAAAGTGCACCAGTATAAGCCTTTAATAATTTTTTATTTAAAGTTGGTGGTGGTGTACGAGAAAAACACCTTGCTAAATAAGCAGCTGTTTCTGCTTTTACTGCAGGATTCTTGTTCTCTAATGCAACAACTGTATCTTCTAATATAAGATCAATAGAAACCTATTATATACATAAAACATATTATTCATACATTTGTATAAAATGTATATTTCCAATTTTCTATATATTCTTTAATAATTTATATATATATCTTATTTACACTTACACTAAGAAAAATAGCATCAGCAGCTTCTCGAAGAGCTTGCACAACGTTTTGTTTCTTCTCGCGAAACTTCTCCAGAATTGATGAAAGGCATGATGTCGCATAAGGTTGAAATCGTTTTTTAAGGCCAGCAGCTAATCCTGCTAAACATTTTCCTGCCAATGCGACCACTAGTACGTTAGTATCTTTGGATATGACCTGTTTATAACATTTAAAAAATAAATAAAATAGCAATAATTGCAAAATAATAGTAATAAAGATGCATACCTTCTTTAAAGTCCTTACTATATCACCATAATCACCATTTTCCAATTTAGGATGTTTTACTAGAGCATCTAAAGCTTCTAGAGCTTCCTTTCGTTCTTGCCATTTTTTGGCTTCAACTTTATCATAAAAATCTTTTGGAAGTTTAGAAAGTACATCAATAGGCTCCAACATTTCATAAGGATCAACTTCAGGAGCAGAACCGCCATCACCATCATCTTTGCCTTCTGGAATATAATAAAACTTTTTGGTTAAAAGTAAAAACATTACAACTATTGTAGTTAATTTAAAAATTATTTACCTTCACCGATATCACTTGTAGAATCTGTAATACATATCGCTTTTGGTTTTTGTGATTTCAAAAATCGAATAGGTACAACTTTTTCTTCTTTTAAATTACTAAACTCTGCTTCCAATTCCGTAATTTGTACTGGTTTCAATGTATTTAACTGTTGCTTTAAAGGTGCACCTATCCATCTGTACATCACAACACAAAAAAGAAGATAATTGGATTCTTAATGACATATTACATAGTGTTATAATTTTTATAAAAATACAACTAAAAGAATACCTGTAAATTTCAACAACCATGAATTTGCCTTCTTCCCTAACAGTTTTATCTCTATCTTCAAGAAAATTAGGAATCTTCTTTATTAAAGGTTTTATATTAATTACTTTTGGTCCAAATTGCCTGTAATATTATAAAGCAAATAGATAAATTATTAATATATTAATTTATTATTAAATTATAATTCTTAATATATTAATATAATATATAATAAATTAATTGAATACTGATACAATAATATGTACCAAATGTTCTATTCATTTTACTTAATTTTTGTACTGTGTTTTATATTGTAACATTTATGCTGCATACCTTAATTATATATTTCCTAAATAATGTACAATTACCTTAAAGCCAATGTTAAAGTAGAAATACATGCAGCAACAATTTTTGGATTTTTTGCTTCTGTTCCTTTTAATAATTCTTCCTGTACAGCTTCATGCTTTTCAATTTCTATATACATCAATGTTATTTGTACCGCTAACTCTTTTGTTTTAGCTTTAGGTGCAGCAATACATTTTGTAACTATTCCATTCATAACTTCACCAACAGTCCTATAAAATTGCAAGTATATTGTTAAAGATTTAAAAATCTGTGCCAATATATATATTACAGAATTATATATTAAAAAGATATCAATATAAAGTGACAATAAATTATTACAAAATGTACTTACATTGATATATAATACTTACTTTCCTGCTATTGCTGCATTTTCAATGAAAGCTAAAGATGCTTCCAGTCCTTTCTCTTGAGCAACTGCATTGCTATCTACCACGAACTTTTTAATAAATCCCAAAAACTTGTTCCATTCTGGAGATTTTTCATCATCAATACATTGAAACGTATTTACACATTCTTTATACCCATGCAAACGTGCCCTCCATAACTAAATAATATCAATGATTAAAAATATAATTTAAAAGATGTTATATGTTAAATCAAACATTAAAGACTATATTAAAAAACATGTTACCTTGTGCACACATCTTTCTTCTAATGGTAATTTAATATATTCTGTATCTTGCTCCATGTTTCAAGATCTACAAAAGTAATGATTACAATATTTTAATTTTCTTTGTAATGCAATTATTTACGATAGTTTTATAAGACATACATTTTACGAAAAATATCAATAATAAACCTTTATTTACATTAAATGCTGCATGATTTTTTACAAATATATTATTTATAGGTTTAATGTAACTTTATATTACTTATAAAAGGTATACAAGTTATTAGATTCAATTATCATTAAATATAGTTTTCAATTGTAGACATTAGCATAAAACATATATTATGAATATTATTAATATGTGAAATAGTAAATGGATAAAATTTATAAGACAAAATATATTCAAATGTTTATCGGTAACTACAATTGTTATTAATATTTCCATATACTTTTAAACATATATCATTTTTACTCAAAAATTGAAGAAAAACTTTTAAAAATAAATAAATAATAATAAAAATATAAATTAGACTAAAATTTTCAAAGCTTAAAGTAACATATGAAATAAAAAGTAAGAATTATGACTATGTTCGTAAAGTATTTAAAATAATGCATAATAAATGAATTTTGCAAGTAAAGATTAAAATTATGACTAGAAAGTATTATTTATCGTAAATAAATTTATTGCACAATGATATATTTTAATACTAACGATTTACACACTTCATATATATTCAAACAAATATTAACTTGTCAGTATGTACAATCCTTTACAAAATAAATAAAAAAGATACAAGAAATCTTATTCTAATGTAAAAAAGATTTCAAGTATTAAAACATAATACCCGCAAAGATTCGTCACTAAAAATTCGAACCTACCTTACAAAACGAAGATATAGAAGGATATCTTTTGACAGGAGAATCAACGTTTTTAGAAAAATCGTCACTTCAGTTCATTCGAAACATTCACGTAATTAGACTATAAGGCCTATAATGACCTTTCAGCGGCAATTGAGTCTTTTACATTTAATTTTCAAATATAAGTTTTCGTTACAACCGTCAAGCTGAACGCAAACAAAAAGACAACCACATCTTTCGAAACTACGAATTTCTGAACCCGGTCAATGTTGGAGTTTACTGTTGTCCTCGATAGATGGTACTAAAAGGCAATTTCTTTTGTCCTGTATCTTATACTACATTCTTTTAACTTCATTCTGCAATTTAAAAGTACATTATAACTCCTTAACTTATTTATTTTTGTTTCAGATTAATGTAAATTTAAATATTATTATTTAATAACATTAAGATCAGTATTAATGTAAAGATATGTTATAAAATATTTCTGTTCGTAATTCTAAATTTTATAGAATATTATGTTGAAATATTAATATTTAGAAAATTTTATTAAAAAAGTTGAAACTTCTAGATTATAAATTCAAAAAATATAATATATAATATATATTATGAAAGCCCAAAATATATTTAATTTTACTTAACAGTAGAAACTTGTAAATTTGATTATAAGATTTTATTAATATGTATTAGTATTATACATACGGTTTATTTAACCTACTTATATAAAAATAATGTATAGATAGTATAATATTTTTATACCTTACAAAATATAAAATATTAAAAAATACAACTATTTTATAATACTTACCTATATATTAAATAAAACTTCTTTGTAGGTATTGTGCCAATTTATATAACTTTTTCATTTACGAGGTTTAAAGATGAAATATACCAACGAAATATGCATTAAAACCAAGCATTTCATAAAAATTTTATAGTTAGAATATTATAAATTTTTATAGATTTTTATATCATTTATAACATTAATACAATAACATTGTACAATCATTTTTCTTGGTGTTGTTTTTATCAATAAATTAATATCAATATTGCAACGTAAATACCAACACAATTGCACTGTATTATATAGTAAGATATAAATTACACATATTACAATTAGAACATGCTTGTATTATGTATCTGTAATAAAAATAAAATTCAATTATGTTCTTAATAATAGTATAAATTAGAAAAATTTTATAATAATAATTGACATATTGCAGTAATAGCAAAATATCGATTTAGTATTCGATATACTACAATTACATTTTTAGGATCAAATTTTTATATAGTCAATATTTTGAATACATTATGTCTAAATTATAACTAAATGCAACAATAAATCTTGCACACATTTCGTTCGCTAGTCTATTACAGTAACATTATAAACCAAATGAATATTATTTATTATATTTATTAATGCATCATGCACATCATTAAATCATAAATTGTAGGTATGAAATAATGAGCTGTTCTAACAGATTATGAATAAAAGAATTTATATTAAGTATAACAATTATTGATCTATTATGAGAAATATTGTATCAATGGAACATTCATGACCTGATGATACTTATAAAATAATAGAAAATTATTTGAACCAGTGAGATACTTATAAAAATATACATTAACAACCTTTACACGGGAACATGTTTAACACGAAATAAGTTAATACATTACTTCCAATATCAGGTTAATAATTAATTTTTATGTAATTAGCACCAGTATAAACGTGCATATAAACAAAATGCACAAGTTGTATTTTACATTATAACAAAGCAATATGAGAAATAATACTTCATATTATAAACAAATAGGTATCATTTATACTTACTTTTATATAAATATATGTAAATGTTAGTACTTTAAATCTAGTACTGCTTTGAGAATTAAATATTTTAGACATATACATGCTTGAAAACAGGTTGGAGCAGTACCAGAAACATATTTGTATATTTTTTTCAAAAGTTTATTTATCCTAAGAGATATACAAAACAAACATTTCTTCTGTAACTGTTATAATTCCCCTATAATAACACAGAAAATTCTGCCATAATTTTCAATATCTGTTTTTATTAATTATCTCCATCAAATGGATACCTTTGTATCAGTACAATTCATTTTAACCAGCTATGTTAAAATTATGCACATCTGCAAATCAGTATTAAAATATTACAATTTCATATTTTACAGTATTCGTCCTCTAGCTCCCTCTAGAACAGGTTTTTGCTTATATAATCACACAATTATCCGTTATATGACATTGTGCAGGGGAGATGAAAAGCTTTTACGTCAAAAAGTAGTGGTTACCTGCTGAGCCAAATCAAGGTGCAAGTCAGTCTGACTGTAAAGAAGCCTCTTGTATATTCATTTTGCATACCAGTCTTGGCCACGAAATTCATATTTGCATTACTTAGCCTGCTTTTTTTTGGTATGCTTCTTACACAGTTGACTCTAATCTCAATGATTAAGTTCTGTACATACTAGGATCTAGGAATGTTAATATTACAAGAAACCACAATAATTTATTATAATACAGCCTGCTGTACACCAGATGACTCGAGGCAATACAAGACACGCCTTATCTTACTTTCTTAAACAATGAACGGAATCACATGATTCTGAAAGGATTTTAACGTATGTTTTATTGGAAAATGAATATGAGAGGGAGAATGACGAGATGGTAAGGGCAGGGACCACTTCAATTTGTTAAAACTCAAAATACAATTCTATTTTAGTGTGTCATTAACGACTGTCATTAATTTTGATAAGAACAAAAATTCATTACTTCATATAATTATAAAAAAATTGAGATTATAATTTATAATATTACTAAGATAACATAAAAGCGAAATTTTTCATCAATTATATCAAACAAATCGGATCGTTTCTATGCTCCACTTTCTTACGAACAGAAGATATTCGCGCTTTATGCGTTTTGTGTAGTACTTTACAATACCACTGCTCCATGGCTGGGTTATCGTCCCAATTTTGATTTCGTAAACTTGCGAATTAGATATTTTGTTTCGATTCCAATCACTTATAAGCTATAAGGCTCAATCTCGTGGTTTAGAATACATCATTTGTGGAAACTATCACATGTTGACGCAGATGTAGAATCGAAGTTGCATTAAAATATATACTTATCCTAATACTTACAACTATACGACACATACTTAAATCAATTACATTCATACAAAGCAGCCCCATGCCCCACCTGCGACAGATTTGATTTAAAGAAATATTCTGTACAAGGATATACAATAAGTCTTCTTACACTGGCAGCGAATGAACTGAACTGATAAATATCAAACTATTTCGAATGATACCGCCCAACAATGGAGCCGCCGTATCCTGTTTTATATAATTAGGTTATTTTTTAACATAGTCTGGAGACAATGTCAACAATGATTGAGCCCCTGCGCCTTCCACCTGATAGAAAGTGGGCACCATATCTTTTCATTCTGCTATCCTACGCCATTTTACATGTTACTATCAATATGTTAAAATACAAATGTCACTCATACGATCTTCTCTCACACCTGTCATACATACAATTTTAAAATAATTATTATAATCGCGGGTATTTAATTATTATTGTAAATAATCGGGGACTGGTGATTAGTTATTTCTTTTTCCTAGTGGTGTAAGTACGCTCACGCTAAGATCAATGGTACGTACAGTAGGTGAGGTATGCTTTCAGGATCAAGGACACGGGGTGATAGATGAAATTTTGTCGTGCATCCGCTATTCATCATCTTCTTTATACTCTTCTTCACTGTCACTTTTTACAGTATTCACTGGGACTCCTACTACAGGTGCCCCATCTTTCATTTTTTTTTTGTACGCAGTCATTTCCTAAGTACAACATATAATACATGTTATTCAGATAAATCAATGCAAATATTTTTAATACATTTGTACTGTGATTTACTGGGATTTATTGAGATTAAAACGTATTTAATATACAATAATATAACAATGATTTGTTTAAAGCACGCATGTTATATATTTTACTATATGTATACATACCCTTTCATATCGAGCTTTATCCTTTTCCGCCATAGCCTCATATTTCGATTTGGTTTCGGGATCTGCATCTGACCACTTTTTACCTAATTCCTTGGCGATATCACCTACACCAAACTCAGGATTTAGCATTTTCACTTTTCCACGTTCATCATTGCAGAACCAGAAAAAGGCAGATCTACAGCACAAAATGTAATTTCTAAGTTATTTTCATATATTCATATATACATACACGTAAAGACAAATGATGAAAATAATTTTGAAGTATTTAAAAATATTAATTTCATTATAATATTTTATCAGAAATAAATGATTTCATTGAATCCACTTACAGCGATCTTTTCGGAGCATTATGGTCTTTGATGTGTTTGCGTTTTTTGCCTCTTCCTTTACTTTCTCCTTTCGGTGGTGTATAATTCTGCATCTCTGCATCGTATCTCTTTTTATCTTTCTCTGCCATTTCATGAAAACGTTTCTTTTCTTTGTCTGACATTGTCTAGAAACATATAATATACCTATTATGATCACAAATGCCATGCTTACTTTTAAATTTAAAATATACGTAAAACAATAACTAAATATGTTTACTAATTTATAAATGTATGTATTATTTATAAATTTATGTACTATTTATAAATTTATAATGTTATGAAAATACGAACGTAACTTAAATTATATATAAACATGAAATAATTAATTACATGTGTTTAAATTAATCGAAGTTGACAAAATATAAACACATAACTTCTTAATACCTTTTTACTGAATATTTTTATTTTTTATATTTTTAAGGAAAGATTAAAGATGTTTAATCATTCGGTACAATGGAATAGTAGTAAGCAATAACCAGCTAATATAGCAAGTAGTGACCAAATGTATTGTTGATATCTTTGTTGGGTCATAACTGTTTACAGAATTGATCATGATTGAGTAAGAAGAATATGATAGTAATGTTATATTTAAATTAACTAAAGGAAAAATAGTGATTTTTATTATACGAGACATGAATATAATATATTGATCGATTGAAACATTATTATGAATATCGAATTTAATAATGAATACAATTTTTTGGAATCATCATGGATATCATTTTTCGATATTTTGAATTAAATAAAAAATTGAAAAGGAAAATTGAAAAGAAAAATCAAAAGACATTGAAAGAATATCATTAATTTAAAAAAAGTTTAATAGAAACAATTAAAATATTCTTCCTTTGCATCGTGTAATTATAATAATCAGAGGCTTGTCCGTAAAAATTGTAGAATTATAATAATTAAGTTTGTTTCTAAAAATATACATGATAACGAAATAATTTGTGAAAGAACATTTTAAAATTGTACAGCTGCCGAGACAAACATTTTGGTAAGATAATGGGAGGTCAATGTCTTTAATCCTGAAGACCATCTGGTCTGTATTCTAAAAGAGGAGTGTGCAGAAAGTGTCTCCCTTTTCAAGGGGTAGGACGACCAGATGTTGGAGTAGCACCTGTTCAAAATGATGTTTTACATTTGTGAAACTTCTCCACCGAAAAATATATCTGAATTTCTTCTACTGAAAAGTTTACAGTGCATATATATTTCTTCGTAAAGATGTTTATCAGCAATCAGTAAATAATTGTGACAACTACTATGTGAAAATTTTTTGGAACGATAAGGAGCTGTTGTGATAAGATGTTGATTGTATATGTACTTTTTGTATACTTTGATAAAATAGTTTCTACAAAGTTTCTATTATTATTTTACCTTTGTAAATATAAGTATTTTACAAAAAGAAAGAAAATATAACAAAGATAAAACAAAGGAGTTTAAATCAATTATTATAAAATCTATCAAATATTTAAAAAATTAGCTAGTTAGGCGATTAATAAAATATGAAAATTATCTTCTTAAGAAGGACATGATTTGCACCTACAAGGATAATACTTAATTCGTATTTAGCTCTATTTGAGATAAAGCAAAATCAAAGAACAATTTTCATGCACAATTTATTGTAAAACTGATAATATCGCTATTTATCTCTTCTGACTCATATTTTATTCACATTATTGTTATTTTCAATTGTGATAAGTCTTAATATAGATCCACATTGTACACTTTTGTGCATTCTTTGATATTTGTAATGAATAAAAAGGAAGAAAATCGTAGAAACAATTTAAAAGACTGAAGGATACATGTGTGACTGGCATGTTATTAACGTTTTGACGTGGCCCTTATTATATATAAGGGACAAATACTAAGGAACAACGAGTTGTAAACCGGTCCCGATTCTAATCCTACCCATGACAAGATTACAGGTAGTCGGTGCAGGTATATGATTAACCGTTAATCCTAAATATTCTTTAAGTGTCTATGTTAAAACTAGTTTTCTCATTGGAAGTTTAGTAAAATTCACATAATCAAGGACTGAGCGTGAAGCTGATATTAATGGTGTGTATTATAAAAACTGGTTTTTAGATATATAGAAATATTTTGGTACCAATAGATAAAACAAGAATTCGAATTCATTGGAATGAACGTTTATATATTACCCTCCCATGGATCGATAGCACATAGTTATTTTATTCTTGTATAAAATATTTTCTTATAATATTCTCTTGTAATACTCTATTAATTGAAATATTATGCAATAACTTTGAATAACTTCTGCTGTGAAGTTTATAAAACTATGCCGCTCAAACTGATTCTGTTGGAGTTTGTCTTATATATAAAAAGATACGGGCGAGTTATCTTCAAAGAAATCAACGTATAGCAACTTTCAGATGAGGTCAGTTAACTGTAAATTACTACTTAAATTAGTTACACTTTTACTCCGGCGAACAACGCCAGAAACCATTATTATTTCCTGAAACATGTTTAACGAACTAATTATAGTGTACATCATTTATATTTTAAAAGACTTTATAGAGAAGTCTCGTTTTATATAAATATAAAATTATATTATCTATAAATGAAAAAGTAAATTAAATGGATAATGATAAATGTACTTTTTGTTAAATAATTAGAAGTAAAATGTGCAATATTATACTTTTGGATGTAGCATTAATTAATAAATCATTTTTTAAATATGTAGAACAAGTATTGTTATATTATTAAAAGGATTAAATTTCACAAAAATATAATTCTATAGAACTTTGGAAATTATCTTGTTTCGCCATATGCAGAGTAGTGCAAAAGTTAATAGGATAACTACAATTATTAGTTTATAATTTATTAATTGTCACTCCAGTGAATTTTTAATTTCAGTTGCAAATTTGTTGATAGAAAAAATTTATTACTAATACCGATTACTGCTACTGTAAGTAGAAACATGTGCCATTTCATAGTGTACAATTATCATAATATAATATATTAATAAGTGAATAACAGTAATTCGATGATAACCTTATAAGCTAATCTCTGATAAATGTTTCATTCTAAATTTACCGTCGTGTTTGAAAATTTCTACATATATCTTCGTTTTTTCTGATTTTTTTAGGAACTTACACCTTATTTAACCATAAACATATTTTATTTTTTTCAAATTAATAGAACCTAAATCAGATTAATGTTGGTGCTCAAAATGATTAAAAAGTCGCGCTTTTATAAAATTCTGAAAAACTAAATAAGAAATACATAAATGAGAACTGTAGATTTTATTTATGCTTTTATAAAATCGAAAATAAAAGAAATAGTTAGCATACAGTTAACGTCGTACTTTTACCTTAATATTTAATTACTGTAATAGACCAAAGCGTTTAAAGTATTGGTACTTCAGAAACTGATAAAATCACATAATCGGGGGATCCTCTAATTAACCTGGCCAGCTTTTTGGGTAATTAATCATGTATCAATGAAAGAATACGTTTTTAGATAACACAAAAAGGTGAACGAAATTGTAGTAATAAAAAAATCATTATATAATGTGATCTTGCTTTCTCTATCAAATGTACAATGCATTCCTAAAACTTCACGTCGAAAGTAAAATAACACGGTAAAAATTATACCCAACATATATAATATTACAACTAGAAAACAAGTACAATTCAGTTGAACAAGATTATAAAAATATCAGTGTTTCTTACCTTCCACCTCATTGCGCATTTTTTAGAGAATTCCCGAAAGACAATCTTTTCCTCGGGGTGTTTTTTTTTGTGCTCCTGACGACACGTTTGCACGAAAAACGCATATGCGGTCATCCGTCCCCTTGGCTTCGAATCTTTTCCTCTAGGCATATTGTCTCTTTGTTGTAAACTCTGAGCGTTATTTTGCTGAAGATTATTTTGTTGCTGTGATAACTGTTGTATCTGGTGCTGAAATAGAAAAATCAGAGTATGTTATTAAACACAGTTGCAATTATCGGTATTCATTCAATCTTTATTTATTATATTATATATATATATATATATAG